CCTCCCTCCCTCTCTCTCTGCCTTTCAAGTAGATAGTAAGTAAGCCCTTTGACAGCAGCACGGACTTAGTCTCTCGCAGTCCGCGCGGAGGCCCAACAGGTCCTGCATGGTCTGACATCTTCAGGGACCCCTCCTCAGCCCCCACTGTCGGACGCCGCCTGACGTCCCTGGGCGTGCACAGGCCCCGCTCCGAGCGCCACCTCCGGCTTCCGGTGGCCGCCTCCTCTCTCTTCCTTCCTGCTTCTCCCCTTCTTGCAGGGACACTGTCACAGGGTTCAGGGCCCTCCCGGTAAATCCAAGACGCCTCTTCTCGGGACCCTCCCGTACCCCTGCAGAGCAGCTTCTTCCAGACAAGGTCACACTCGCGGCTCGGGGAGCTTAGGGCGAGGCCACGCTGTTCCGGACATCACACCAGTGCACTACTGTGTCTTGGATGGCATACAGTAGGAGCTCAATAGATGCTAGCTATGAAGATCCTAGAGCATTAATAATAATAGAACAATGCTGACGGCCACTGTTGCGTCAGAGCAAAGTGTGTGCCCAAGGACGAGAGACATTCCTGCTGTAAAGATGCTGTCTTCCAAAGCCGCACAGGAGAGAGGCGCTCCCAGGAGCTGTGTCTGCACCTGCTCCATTCACACGGCTGCTCGCCACGAGGCCGCCGCGGTGTGGGGAGGCCAGGCAGCCCCGGGCTGGGCGTGCAGCGACAGCTCTGCCCCCAGACGCAGCAGAGACGTAGAGCAGAGCTCTGCCCAGGGACCTCGCAGGCCCTGGCGCAGGAGACAGGGCTAGGAACCCTTCACCCACAGGCAGAAATGCCACCGCCGCATCTGTCTTTATTTATTTATTTATTTATTTATTTGAAAGTCAGAGTTACACAGAGAAAGAAGGAGAAGCAGAGAGAGAGAGAGAGAGAGAGAGAGGTCTTCCATCCGTTGGTTCACTCCCCAATTGGCCACAACGGCCAGAGCTGCGCCGATCTGAAGCCAGGAGCCAGGAGCTTCTTCCAGGTCTCCCACGCAGGTTCAGGGGCCCAAGTCTTGGCCATCTTCTGCTGCTTTCAGCGATGTGTCGCTGAGGCCCGGGGAAGGCTCAGAGGTATGCAGGCTGCTGAGGCCTGGTAAGGAAGCTGACTTTTTTGGTTTCTCTGAATATCTGTCCTTGACAACGAGGCCGCATCTTAGACACTGTCCCCTCTCCAGGACGCCCTCTTGGGACACGGGACAGGCTGGACTTGGAACCAGATCCCGACTGCTCCGACCAAGCTGATGACATCATCTCAGAAGCCTGCCACTCCTACCGTGGGCTGTGACCTCGCAGAGCTGTGCGGAGCACTCATGGCGGCAAACTTTCTCCTCGTCCTCAAGTAACTTGGGCTCCACCAGCTAAGAGTTTTTAATTTCCATTTCACAGATGGGGAAGTTGAGGCACAGGGTACTTAAAGTTCGTTACTATGTCAATCCGTTTGTCGTTACCATAACAAAATATTTAGGGGCCGGCGCTGTGGCACAGTGGGTTAGCACCCTGGCCTGAAGCACTGTCATCCCATATGGACACTGGTTCAAGACCCGGCTGCTCTACTTCCAATCCAGCTCTCTGCTGTGGCCTTTTTTGGGAAATCAATAGAAGATGGCCCAAGTCCTTGGGCCCCTGCACCCACGTGAGAGATCCGGAGGAAGCTCCTGGCTCCTGGGTTCAGATCGGCGCAGCTCTGGCCGTTGTGGCCAATTGGGGAATGAACCAGCGGATGGAAGACCTCTCTCTCTCTCTCCCTCTCCTCTCTCTGTGTAACTCTGACTTTCAAATAAATAAATAAATCTTTAAAAAAATATTTAAAGCCAGGTCATGTCATGAAGCAAATAGGTTCATTTAGCTCAGAGTTTTGGAGGCAGAAAGTCCCAGACTGGACAGCCTCATTGGTTCAGCCTCTGGTGAGGGCCCGATGGCAAATGGCATCATGGTGACCGCATTGCAGGAGGGAGAGATGACGTCACCAGACAGGAAATGACATCATGCGGCAGCGTGGCAGGAGGGAGAGATGACATCATCAGCCAGGAACCTGAGAGTAGGTCAGGATTGAGGCTCAGCCTTTAACCACTCGATCCTGTGAGAACTAACTTCAGGCCCATGAGATCTACCTTAATCCCTCCCAGGAAAAGTGCTCCCCGTAACTGAGGACCTCACCACCCTGAGCTCCCAGCACGGGAGCCCCCGGGGGCAAACAACATCTGGAACCTGGCAGCTGCCCAAGCCCGGGCAGCCGGGAAGCATCCGAGCTGGAACAGGACCACCGAGGAGGCTGGCAAAGGAGCTGCAGGGTTGCAGGCGAGGGGCGCTTGGCCCCCTGAGGGGTGCAGGGCTCCACTGAGACCTGGAAGCAAGATGAGGAGGCCTTGGCCGGGCTCACGGTTGGGAGCGGGTATTCCTGAAGCGGGGACAACTCACAGATCAGCTCTGCAGCTAGGAGGGGGACAGTCACACTCACCCCATGAGGTCCCTGAAGAAAAGCCCAGCCGCCGGGGCTGACAGCAGCAGGTGGCAGCGCCCCTCCCAGAAAAGCTACAGCAAGACCCCCTTGTCCCCCTCCAGGGATGGCCTGTGCACACCCCCCAGCCCTTTCTCCATACATTGATCTCTCTTCTGTGCGCGCACGTATCTCCCTGATTCTGCACTGTGCGCCTGGCCACACTTGAGCAATATCTGAATCACAATGTGTTTGACTATCCACGGCATCTCCCAGCCACAGTGGGCAGGACTCGGTCTCCACAGCACGTGGAATGGAGATGCACCCCACAATGCTGTCATGTACCCCAGAGAAGGCAGAGGTCAGGCTGGGATCACAGCTGGCGCCACCCATAGTGCTCTGGCCCATCCTTTCTCCCAGCTATTTGCTATTTAAGACTTTAAAGCGGAAGCACACAGACCAATCTCGGGCCGGCCCTCCATCAGTGGGCACCCAGGCCTTGTCTCGCTTCTCACTGTTTCAAACCCGCATAGTGAATCTTTTCAACCTCACTGGGTAGACACTAAGAAATGCAATTACTCTGAATATGATTTTTTTCTGTTGAAAATAAAGCCTTGACCCCTAGCAGACACCCCAGAGAGGCCACCTGAAGCCCTCGTGCTCAGGGGAGCTGAATTCCACAGGTGCATGTCCCTGCCTGCCCCTGTCTGCAGCACAGCTGTCCATAAGCCACACTGAGCGCCCCCTCCCACGCCCGGCAGCCCCTCAGGCTAGCACATGTGTCCCCAATGCTTCCCTGGCCCCTCCCACTCCCACCCTGGCCAGTTGCACCAGGCACCATGAAGGAGTGGCTGCCCCTGCCCAGCCAGAAAGACGGAGACCCGACCTTGTGACGTCCCGCTGACCCCATGGGCAGCCAAGCCAGGCCTCCGGCCCTCGCTCCGGCACCTGTCACTGATATGCTCTGCGGGGCAAGGCTTTTGCCGCCTCCAGGTCTGGTGTCCAGTCTGACCGCCCTCGCGGGCACTTAGCAGCTGAGAAAGCCCAGGCTGTGCCAACGGGAAGCACTTTGTGCAGCACCTCCCAGAAACACCAGCCTTCCGGAGGTTTCCGGCAGCAAACTGGACTCATGACCTACTGCCCGTCAGACTTCTAGATGGTGGGAATTCGGCAGTAGCATGACAGACATGGACCCTGCCCTCGTGGAGTTCATAATCTAATGAGACAGTCAGATTTTAACACCCCCCTACACACACACACACACACACACACACCACCAAGAGTCACACAAGCTGCACCATGAACAGGAACTGGCCAAGGCAGGTTGCCCAGATGGGCCAGCATGTGCAAAGTCCCGTGCTTGGAGGAAGCCTGGCCCAGGGCCAGCATAGCTAGGGAGGAAAGCACAGAGGAGAATGGGCTGGCAGGGGGCTCTGCCTAGCCCTGTGGATCTGCCTTCTGTCTGAGCCCCAGCCCCGCACCCCAGCAGCTCCACCCACAGCCGACCCCAGCTGATCTCAGACCCCCACCACAGCACTGGGCCTCGGATTCTTCACGGAAAGCAAGAATGGTGAAAATGGAGACAACAGGGGCCGGCGCTGTGACACAGCAGGTGAAGCCACCACCCGCTGCACCGGATTCCCAATCAGAGCCCTGGGTCGAGTCCCAGCTGCTCTCCTTCTGCGCCAGCTCCCTGCTCGTGTGTCTGGGAAGGCCGTGGAAGATGGCCCACAGGCCTGAGGCCCTGCCACCCAGGTTGCACACCCGGATGGAGCTCTGGGCTCCTGGCTTCAGCCTGGCACAGCCCCAACAGGTAGAAGATGTCTTTACCTCTCTGTCTCTCCCTCTCTCTGTCACTCTGCCTTTCAAATAAATAAAAATCTATCTTTTCTATAAAATTGAGACAGTAACCTCAGAGGCTGTCCTTGGAATCAAATGAAGGCATAGATGAAATGCACCAGCTCCCTGTCTGGCCTTCATGTCCCCTTCCCCGAAGGACCGTTCAGCCAGTTTGCATTCTTGCGTTTGGCCGTCATCCTCACTGAGCTCCAGAGACCAGTGCTGGGCACCAAGGAACCAGCGTGGGAATTGTGGGCGGGGCTGCCGCTCACCTCCAATCCCCGGCCTTGAACTTCCCAACACATGTTTAGTGCATCTCTACTTCCACCCAGCACTGCTCTAGGCACGGATACTACAGATAATGCTGACATGCAGTCGAATGGGGCAAGACCTCAGCGTCCCACTCCCCACATGGGTTGGGTGCCTGCCCGCTACCCACCCACCCTGCCTCTGCTCTCTGCAAAGTAAGTGGACGGTGGGCGCCTCCAGAGCAGCACGGAGCTGGTAACCAGAGAGCCATCAGTCCACGCTGGTTGAGTGAATCCTGACCCACACATCCCTACAGGTGCAGCAAGAGAGGCCTGGGCCCTGACTTAACACCGCCGCTTTCCCCAGCCAGGCCCTCCACACCGCGGATCCCTGCTAAGCAGACGGGCCAGCCCAGGGCTCCCTTGGTCCTGACCCTGCCCGGACTCACTGAGAAGCTGTCGGCTCGAGTCGCTGACGGTCACGTTCTCCTGCCAGAAGGGGTTCATCAGCGGCGTGCACGGGCTCTGGACTGGACAGGAGGGAGGAGCGCTGGGCACGGAGGTCGCCTGGGGCTCTGACTGCCAGCTCCCGACTCACTCGAACCCCACCTGGCGTCCCTCAGCAGGGCTCTCACAGCCCCAGCCCCTGCCCAACATGCCCCCTCCCCGCTGGACACCGCATCTGGGGCGTGGGGTTTCACGGAGCATCGCGCGCCCGGCAACAGGTCCCAAGCGGTCAGGGCAGCTGGCAGGTGGGGTTAGCGGCCGCACCGTCCCCCGGGGGGCACTCACCCCGGCAGGTCCGCCAGAGTCCGGAGTGCGAGCTCAGAGGCTCGGGCCGGCTGTGGTTGGCGGCGCCCGGCGCGTCCTGCGCGCCCGCCCCGCTGCGCTCCAGCCGCTCCGTGTCAATGATGTACCAGAAGTCGGTGCCGATGGCGGCGGCCAGCAGCACAAAGCTGAGCGCCCCACTCAGCGCCGCCGCGGCGGCCAGCGCGCCCAGGTGCACCCTCATCGCCGGGCCCAGGACCCCGAGCCGCCGGTCGGTGCGGCCAAAGCGCTCACTGGCTACACCTGCCCGCGCCCCCAGCCCGCCGCGGCGAGCCCCAGCTCCACCCCGCAGCCTCCCAGCTCCGAGCTGGACACCCCCAAACCCTCCCCTGCTCGACCCCGGCCCCGCCCTTACACCCTCACCTGCACCCCCAGACCGCGCCACGGGCCCGGCGCCACCTCCACATGCAGACCCCACCTCCGCCCTCCGACCCACGCACCCCCGGATGGAGTCCCACTCAGCCCCACCAAGCCTAGCCCAAGGCCCTCGCGCCCCAAACCTCGCACTTCTTCCCCGGCCCCCCCACTCCTTCCGTTCCTGCCGCACTCTCCCTAGCCCCGCAGCCGCACCCCACTCTGTCGGTCCCCCCTTTCCTCCCAGCCCTCCGGTTCCACCCCCGCCCCAGGCCGCCGCCTCTGACCCCCGCTCTTCCAGCCCCGTACTCGGGAAACTGCCCTCGCCCGTCCCGCGCCTCCCTCCCGGGGCTCTGAGCGCCGCGCTGCCGGGACCAGTGGCGCCCCGCCGGCTGGCAGGCTGGGGTGCGTGGGCAGAAGGCTGGCCTTGACCACCTGCTGGAGTGAGAAGGCGGGGCCAGCGGGCTTCAGTAGCCCAGGGTTTGCCGAGGATCCACGGGAGCCCCGCCCTCCGGCGCCGGTGACCCTGCCTCCAAATCCACCTTCAAGAGATTTTTCCAGGCTCCCTACAGAGGGAAAAGACAGATCCGCGTTTTTAATAAAAATGCCTAAAATCAAAGAGGTGGACCAGGTTCTCTAAGTCAGTCATCTATCACCTAAGTGTGCATTGTCACGGTCGCCATCCACTACCGTCAACATCACCACCACCATCCACTACCATCACCACCATCACCATCACCACCATCACCATCATCATCCACAACCATCACCACCATCATCCACTACCATCACCATCATCACCACCACCATCCACTGCCATCACCATCACCACCACCACCACCATCACAACCACCACCCACTACTGTCACCATCACCACCACAACCATCAACCCCTGCCATCACCATCACCATCCACTGCCATCACCATCTCCACCATCATCACCACCACCACCACCATCACCATCACCACCACCACCATCAACCCCTGCCATCACCACCACCACTACCATCCTCACCACCATCACCGTCACTACCACCATCACCATCCTTGTCCTACCAATGCCTTCATCAATTCCGTTATCTTCCTTGCCACCATAAACCTCTCAGTCCTTCAAGAACTACTTCTTGAGCACCTTTGTATGTGCCTGACCTTAGAGTTTGAGTTAGGAATACAGGCATGTAGGGGAGTGTTGGGCCTTGTGGTTAAGATGCTGGTGAACAGATCCTCATTCCACAGCCAAGTGCCTGGATTGGAGTTCTGGCTTCACTTTTTTTTTCTTTTTTTTAAGAATCTTCTGAAGAATGAAACTCTTTTTTAAAAAAATATTCTATTTCTTTGAGAGGTAGAGTTAGAGAGAGAGGGAGAGACAGAGAGAAAGGTCTTCTATCCACTGGTTCACTCCACAAATGGCTACAACAGCTGGAGCTGGGCCAATCCGGAGCCAGGAGCCAGGAACTTCTTCTGGATCTCCCATGCAGGTGCAGGGGCCCAGGGACTTGGGCATCTTCTACTGCTTTCCCAGGCCACAGCAGAGAGCTGGATAGGAAGAGGAGCAGCTGGGAGTAGCCTACTTGGCCACAGCCCTGGCCGGGCGTCACTCCTGATTCCAGCTTCCTGCTGATGCGTAACCTGGGAGGTAGCAGATGACGACTCAAGCACTTGGGTCCCTGGCACCCACATGGGAGACCCAGAGGAGTCCAGCCTGGGCTGTTACAGGCATTTGGGGAGTGAACCAACAGATGGGAAATGAATTTCTCTCTTTCTCTCTCTCCCCTGCTCCCTTTCAAATACATAAATATTTTTTGAAATATTTAAGCATAAACACCCAAACATAACCTTTGCCCTGAATACATGGTGCAGGGTTTCCAGCCTTTTTCAAGGGTATTTCAAGAAGAAATACTCCTACTTTCCAAGCAGTCTCCAGGTGCTGGAGATGATGAGCCCCTGCTCCCTGGGGTGGGGGCAGCCGCCACGGTGCCTCCAGGCTGCCCTTGGCACCCCCATCAAGCCAAGGACCAACAGTTGGTCAGTTCTGGTTGAGTTGGAGAGACTCGCTCACCATAATGAGCTGAGAACAAGCTGTTAGGAGGCAGGGAGAGACAGGAGAGCTCCCTGGGCCTCTCTGAGGATGTGCCCCTGATGCCAAGACCCAAAGGACAGAGCACCATGGCGTGCATACAGCATGGCTTGTACCAAGGGTTGGCTACACACGAGAGAAAGAAGGGCAACCAGGTGAGACCCAGCAAGGGAGGCGAGGAAAGTGAGGTTGTGAGTACAGGAAGCGGTCAGCCATACAGGTCTGGAGATGCACAAGGGATCTTAGTCTGAACCCCTGAACAGGTTTGAGCAGGAAGGAAATAGTCTACCCTACGTTTAGAAACGCTCACCCTTCGTCTTGGTGTGAGCGTGAGTCTGGAATACGGGGAAACAGGAAGGGACGCAGGTTAGGAGGTCAGTGCTGTGGGAGAAGCAGCAGATCTTGGTGGCTCGCACTAGGACGTTAACAGTGAGGGAACAGGCAGGACGGGTAGGAGCTGGTGAGGCACTTGGCACTTTTTCCCCCTTGCCAGCACATCTGACTCTACATCAGCCCCCTCATTGTCCTTGTCGGCACCATCAGCACCCAGACGAGCTGCCGCCAGCCAGAACCCCTCCTCCCTGGATTGTGCACAGCTCTGAGCCATCTCACACTTTACACCGTCCCGGTTACGCTGCGTCTTTCCCATGACCATCGCCGCTGACGGCTTTGCTTTCAGTCCCATCACACATTTCTCTTTCCTTGACCACCAGCTTTGAGGATGAAGGTCCAGTTGGATTGAGGCTGGTCCCAGCTGTCATACAATGTCTTCAGGCGTCAGTGTCTTCCAGCTCGCTTGCTCTCTCTCCCCCCCCCCCCCCCCCGTCTCTCAGTCCTCCTCCTCTTGCTTTGCTCCATCCTCCAGGCAGATCTCACTATGGCACTGCAGAAGCTCCCCTCCCGGCGTAGCGACCCCTCTCTCCCCAGACAGAGGGAAGCTCTCAATGGCGCCAACCAGAGTCCCACGATTTGGGCTCATTGGCCTGCCTTTGCCCACACGCCCATTTCTGAACCAATCTCTTGTGTGCAGAGGAGTTGAATGTGCTGATTGGCCATGCCTGCTCACCCACCCACTCCAGGTGCCAGGGTAGGATGGGTCAGTCCCTCCTTAACTGTTTGAGTTAGAGTGTCATGACTGCCAGACTTCACAAATAAAAATACACAGTGGGGACCAGCTACAGCCACCACCTGTAGCACCAGTATCCATGTGGCCTCCGGTTCGAGTCCTGGCTGCTCCATTTCTGATTCAGCTCCCTGCTACTGTGCCTGGGAAAGCAGCAGAAGATGGCCTAAGCCCCTGCCACTCACATGGGAGAACTGGAAGAAGCTCCTGGCTCCTGGCTTGGGCCTGGCCCAGCCCTGGCCATTACCCCCATTTGGGGAGTGAACCCGCAAATGAAAGATCTCTCTCATGCATGCTCTCTCTCTCTCTTTTTCTCTCTCTGTAAATCTGCCTTTCAAATAAATGAATCTTTTTTTTAAAGCAGAGTGTCCAAACTTGAATTTCAGATGAACAATGAATTATCTTTAGTGGAAGCAAATATGCAACATTTGAGATTTTGTGCTACTTTTCTTAAGTTCAGATTTAACTCGGGTCCTGTGTTTTATCTAGCAAACCTAGCTGGCTCTCCGAGGGGACATCAAGGCGCCATTAGCAGGACCAACAGGACGGACAACAGGTGCTGGGAGCAGGCGTCTGGGCTGGCAGCATCTCTGAGGCCCGTAGCAGAGCGCCTGCATGCAGTGTCTGGCCCCAGCTCCTGACTCCAGCTTCCTGCTGATGCAGACTTGGGAGGCAGCAATGAGGACTCAAGTAACTGGGTTCCTGACATCTACGTGGGAGAGCCGGATGGACCGCATCCCTGCTTCCTGCCTCTGTCCCTGGGCCACCCCCAACTGCTGCAGGTGAAGTAACACCTTGACAGTAGGGACTCCATTTTGGAGAACCTGAGACTCCGTTCTGGGAAGGCGTCCCCCACACCGTGAGACTCTGGTCTGAAACTATGATCTAAAACAGTTGGATAATAGCAGTCCACTACGTCACACTTGGCAGAGCACAGAAACCCCCTAGCAGGATCGCTCAAGCTTGGAAGTGGATAGGCTGCACCTGGGTTAATGATAAAAATGTAATTTATCTATGTCCTACATATGATTAAAACCAAAACCTGGGTTAATGTCAGGATTATAATTAAGATTGTAACTGGTATTGTCAAGATTATAATTGATACTAGTTTCGCATAGGTTTTAGGTCAGCTTGACCCCAGTAACCATGTATTCCCCCTGATCCTAGCAACCATGAATTCCCCTCCCATTTTTGTGGTTTTTGCCTTTATAAACCCTGTTGCTTTGGGCTTCAGGGTCGAGAGCTCTTTAGGGCATGAGCCCACTCTCCACCGCCGGCAATAAAGGACCATCAGGTTTTGTCAATGTGTGGTGCTCCTTTGTTTGCACTCGCTCAGGTACAACACAGGCATTTGGAAAGTGAGCCCAAAGATGATGAGATGGGTGCTCTCTCTTCCTCAATCTCTGCCTCTCGAGTCAATTTTTAAAAATAAAAAAAAGACCTGAATGAAAGATCTCTGCAAGTGAGATCCCAGTGGAAAGAACGGGCCATCAAAGAAGGAGGTACCTTTCTCTGAAGGGAGGAGAGAACTTCCACTTTGACTATGACCTTGTCTAAATAAGATTGGAGTCGGTGAACTCAAGAGGCTTCCATAGCCTTGGAAATCCATGACAAGAGCCTAAGGGGATTACTGACTCCATAAACAAGAGTGTCAATTGTTAAATCAACAACAGGAGTCACTGTGCACTTACTCCCCATGTAGATTCTCTGTCCTTAATGTGTTGTACAATGTGAATTAATGCTATAACCAGTACTGAAACAGTATTTTTCACTTTGTGTTT